GGTCACGTTTGAGGAAGCTTTCTCTCTTGAGTAATTGTAATCTTTTTATACAACTATTGGTTGTATGTTCCCATATTTCTCAACTGTCTGGAAGTTATAATTTTTTAAGTTTGTTTATTAATTTTGGGGGGCGGGGACGAGAGAGAAAGAGTAGGGGAGGGGCAGAGAGAGGGAGAGAGAGAATCCCAAGCAGGCTCTGCACTGTGGGCACAGAGCTGGACGCGGGGCTTGAACCCAAAAAGTGTGAGATCATGACCTGAGCTGATACCAAGTGTCCGACACTTAACTGACTGAGCCACCCAGGCTCCCCCCCTCCTTTTTTTTTTTTAAGTTAATTTATTTATTTTGAGACAGATGGAGAGAAAGTTTGTTTGGAAGCTCTTTATGGCAATTCTCATTGTGCAGAATTATTCTAAAATAGTAAATGCTTCTTATTCCAAAACATAAAAAGAGTGGTCTGATGGCATTTTTGTAAGCATTGGTACATTCTTCAACAAGATGAGTGTGGGAAGGAAAAGTGAGAAGGTGGCTGGTAAGAGGCTCACATCTTGTGAAATGGTGGCACTTGGATGGCCAAGAGGACTTCTACTAAAGGATTCTGGGTGATCCTTTAACACAGCAGGGTCACTCCTCTTCCTGCTGTCTGCCCTCCCACCGACTCCCCTCTGTTCCCCCTAGGAAGTTTCCACTCTCTCCTGCCCACCTACATCCATACTCAAAACCAAGCTGATGTTTTCACGTAGAACGTCTTCCACCTCTAAAATTTCCTTCCAAGTACCACTTGAGAAGTTTGGCTCTTTCCTTCTTCCTCATTTAATAATCATAATTGCAGAGAAAGAAAATACAAACCGGAGGTGTAATACATCTCCTACGACCTCACATTTTTAGGGTTATTTTTTCTTGCCAACTGATCCTGCATTCATGCTAATGTCCCCCTTCTTGTATCCTTAAAAGTACTCAGCTGTTTCATCAAAAGCCAAAAGGAAAATAAACTATGTTTCTCAGGCAATGTGAGGTGATAACAAAGGACTCCAGCATTTTGGGAACAGTTTTGGATTAAGGGGAAAGAACCAATTTTAGTTGCCAGCTGTTTCTTCAAGAAAAAAAAAAATGGCTGTGTCTCTATATAAAGAAAGGCAAAATTTTTAATTTGTTTTCAGAATCTGTGTCTAAGAAGTTTCTAGAAGAAAGGAGTATATACATCAGATAATAGTATAAGACCTGTTATCTCAAAGGGAGGAAGTTATGAATCCAAGTGTCAGTACTCAAATTACTTTTTCTTCCAATTATCCTTTAAATTCCTAAGCATGATGGGATTACACAAGGTTAAAAAAAATTATGTGTTCACATATATATGCATATATATATATATATATATATATATAATATACACCCACATGTATATCTGTATGGACATATATGTGTGTATATACATACATATGTGTGTACATATATACACAAACATCAATATATGTATGTATATATAAGGATAATATGGGCATGTGTGTGTATATATACATATACACATATGTGGAAACTGCATAGTACTTTTTAAAACAAATCCCATATTTTGAAAGGACAAATTGGTTAGGAAAAAAATTGGAAGATCAGGTCTTCCCCCTACAGAGATCCCAGAATTTTAAGGTCCGGAGCCTAAATGTTTCCAGCCTTTTCCAGCAGGCACAATACCAAGATGGTGTCTCCAAAGGCAAACATACTTTCCTGGTAGATAACTGCTTTCTTGGTCTCTGAATAACTGTGGCCACATTCTCCTGAAGAAAATTGTGGCCTATTTTGCCAATTACTTTATTTTTCCAGAGTAGTAAAATTCCCACCCTGAGGCACAGGAATGAATCAAAGTTCCTAAAGGAAAAGGCCTCTTGTTCATTACTGTCAGGACGGTGTTTCTCACCTTCTTGTCTACAATGATGATCTAGTCATGATGCAGCTTCTGTACCGCTTTGTGGAATTTTCTAGAATCTGGCTGGGGCTTCTGTGTGTGTGTGCGTGCGTGTGCATGCGCACCTATACAAAACCCTAGCAGAACTTAACTGTTGTTTTCCATTAGCTAGTCTGTTGCACTTCTTCATCTCTCTTATCTTTAGTATATTATCTCATTATTACTTATTCTCCTAGTTCAAGCATTTATAAAGCCCCCGTTCCCAATCTGGCCCTGTACCTGGTGCTGTGCATCCCAACATCATTTCTATCTTCATTTATTTCAACCTGTACCATCCCATGAAGTACTTGTCATGTGCAAGCCTGAAGAAAGATTCTTGCCTTGGAAGAGCTTCTAGTCTTATTTTCTTTGCCATTTCTGGACAGTCCGTTCTTAAAACCCATCTTTTATAAAATGTCTAATCTTGGCATATTAATATTTAACCTTATTTGGAGCCAAACACAAAGCACACAATTCCTCTTGAGTCATTTTTCATAGAACTCTCATCTGGTGTCATTTCAACAAATAGGGATCACCCTGAGGACCGTGTGGCCCACACTTTTCTGAATACTGGAGTCTGTATTTTCAAATCAGTAACTCTTTTTCCTCTGACATAGCAGAAATGCATGGATATGCTAGAAAAGAAGAAGGGAACAGAAAAAAATATATGTGAAAATACTTGAAAAAGTTGAAATTCTGATAAAATTTTTAAAATTGGTAGACTCAAACTTTGGTTTCTGGCTTTCAAAGACTTGGATCCTTGGAAAAGGCTATTTTATTCCATGAGCCACAGTTGTCAAATGGTCTTTTTTCCTTTAAAATGTTTTTTTTCTAATGTCTGTTTATTTTTGAGAGAGCGAGGGAGGAGCAGAGAGAGGGGGACACCGAATCTGAAGCAGGCTCCAGGCTGTGAGCTGTCAGCACAGAGCCCGACACAGGGCTCGAACTCACGAACTGAAAGATCATGACCTGAGCCGAAGTCGGACACCTACCCGACTGAGCCACCCAGGCGCCCCCAAATTGTCTTTTTTCTTTTAATCTGTGTCTTTTAATCTCACAAATACAGAATCCTTTAAAACGACCTTCATTCACCTTTCTGAACATTAACATGCACACTTTTTTAGATGCGGAGGTTTTGGAGTCTCGAGCCTATTATCTGAATCGGATTCTGTGGCTATAAAACACGAGGCATTTTGACTGTGGTTTTAACCTTGAAGATGTCGGAGTCCATTTCTTTCTTTTTTTTTTTTTTTTTTGAAAAACCAACATTTTTCACAAGAATTATTGTTGTCTTAGGTTGGGTTCTTCCAGCACTGATCTTAAGACAAGGATTGGAAAGCAAGCAGTTTATGTGAGAAGTGGTTCCAAGAAACGTTGCTAAGGCAGGAGGGAAGAGGGCCGTGGGAAGGGAGAACACCATAAAGATGCTTAGCAGGTTGATTCGGTGGACAGCAGGAGCTGGGGACATGTGGGAGACGGGGCAGAAGGTGCCTCAGAGTTATCCCACTGGAGGGGTGAGGAAGTGGGCGTCCCCAGTTATCATCGGCATCCATCCATCATTAGCTGAGGGCTCAGGCCAGGGCACTTCCGTCCTCCAAGGGGAATCATCCCTGTTCACAGCCCCATGTTGCTCCTACATCCAGGAAAGGTGAGTGTCTACAAATCATTTTCCTGCAAAGTCCGTTAAACCCATTTAATTCCATGATCGGTTTTCCATATGGACCGGCCAGATACGTTCCCCTCCTTTTGTGTGTGTGTGTGTGTGTGTGTGTGTGTGTGTGTGTGTGTGTTTTCATTTCTGTTCTGCTAGGATTAACCACTTATAGTCTCAACTATTGCAAGTTTCCTTCTGTGGCGATTATTTCTACCAGGTCCAGTTTGCTCACATCTGCATCAAAATTTTGCTCCTCAGATTCAGCCACTGTCATTTTTATTTTTGTTTGGTTGCCATCTACTAAGGATAACCATGATACATTAGACTTAGAAGCGCACACTGCTTTACCTGTGTATTAGCCGATCACTGGGATCAGTGTGAACATTACCCCTCAGACCACCTAAGCTTGTTCTATTACTCAGCACGGCCGTAGACCAGCCCCAGTGAATTCATAGTTTCACCTTTTTTTAAAAAAATTTTTTTTAACATTTATTTATTTTTGAGACAGAGAGAGACAGAGCATGAACAGGGGAGGGGCAGAGAGAGAGGGAGACACAGAACCGGAAGCAGGCTCCAGGCTCTGAGCCATCAGCCCAGAGCCCGAAGCGGGGCTCGAACTCACGAACCGCGAGATCATGACCTGAGCCGAAGTCGGACGCTTAACCGACTGAGCCACCCAGGTGCCCCCATAGTTTCGCCTTCTTAAGCCTCAATTTACTCACCTGCAAAACTGTGCTGATAATTATAGACTTCCTAACTTTTCGCAAGGAATCATTAAGGTCAACCCTTCAGAAGAATTCCTGGCCTAGAGGAAGTGTTCAGCACGTGCTATTTATTATTACCAACGTTATTGTCATTTAAGATCGTGATAATGACACATCGGTTACTTCACAAACTACTAATCGCTTTGCCAAGAGGATACTCCCCATCCACTCTGTTCCTAAAGAGCGAATGGTTGTGTCAACCTGACAGTCAACGTGTATCGCTTCATGGGTTATAGTACCTGCCTCACAGGTGCTGGAAGGAATGGGAAAACAATGTGTGTCACAAGCCTGGTACATACAGGCACTAAGCACCAGTTTTTTCCCCTTTTGCTTTCCTTCACACGTAGGTCTTAAGTCCAGAGGATGGGAGAAAGGGTGTTATGATGGATTTCTAAAGCACTTCGAGGAAGTTGGCCTTCCGAAGTCCAGAGGGGTACTGGTCTGTGTGTCCTCTTGGGTTACAGTGATGTTCCAGCATCCTTTCCAGAATGTCTTCAGGACGGTGCAGTTTGCCGCTCTCATTTGATGAGCTTCACTTTCTACCATCAGCATTTTGGGGTGCTAAATATGCTCTTTATGGTTATGACCTGAGATTGTTTCTGTAAAGTGTGTGCATGTGTTTTGAGTTTTTGTCTTTTTTTAGATTTGATTGTGGGTGCCTTCGGAACAGGAAAAGTAGCTGTTTACAGGTACGTGCTTTGCAGTACGCAAGTGTTCTTTCCATTGTTTCTTTTTGCCTTAGAGAGTACATCCCAACTATTTATTTTGGAGAACATGTAGATGCTCTTTTTAAAGTTTGGAGGAATTTTTGCTCTCAATTGCTTTCCTTCATCTGTCTTTTTTTATTTTTGAGAGAAAGAGAGAGAGAGCATGGGAGGAGCAGAGAGAAGGAGACACAGAATCTGAAGCAGGTTCCAGGCTCTGAACTGTCAGCACAGAGCCTGACGCGGGGCTCGAACTCACGAACCCTTAAATCATGACCTGAGCCCAAGTCGGACGCTCAACTGACTGAGCCACCGGGCGCCCCTCATCTCTCTTTTTATTCTCATACCTTATGACCAGACTTCCAGCCCCTACTCACATAATGTTAAATTAAGATATGAATCTTAGGAGAACTTCTAAAACGATACGCTATGTTTGAATTTTTCTCTTTGCTTTGAAAACGAATTGAAAGGTGCTTATAGAGGAGGGCTACCTGTGAGGAAAGATTACTATTTACCTGCCTCGCAGGCTGACGCCTGGCCGCCAGGCTTCTCCCTCCCTCCCTGTCTTTCCTCATAGGTATTTGCCCCAGTGGTTGTCTAACTCCGGGCATGTCTTACTCGGTCTTACTATCTTGCTTTTTCAAGGCCTGGAGCTAACACAATATTAAAAACAAAATTATGTAACAAAGTAGAGGTAAGGAGTGTAGGGTAAACTCCCGGTGGGGCCCATTGTGATAATCATGAACACACACTGTCCCAAGGCACGGCCCTCCCTCCTGTCAAAGGAAAACTTACCCAGTGCGACATCATTTCTTGTTGTCATCTGGGGACTTGGCTCTTAGCTCTCGAATCTCGGAGCCCAGGTTCGAAACTTGCCCTGTCCCCTCCCCTAATGAGTTACTTGCGTCTCTGGTTAGCCTCACCTGGGTGGGTGGAACTCCATTTGCTCTACATTCCTCCCTCTCCTCAAATTTGGCCGAGCATTAGAACCACCTGGAGAGTTTGTTTAACATTCCCGTGACTGGCCCTGACCCCCTGAGGAGTTGATGCACTTCATCTGTGGTGGGGCCTGGACATATTACCTGTTTGGAAACTCCTGGAATGCTTATATTGTGCAGTCAGGATCGACAGCCACTGCTCTGCGTGAAGTCCAGAATGATCTTGTCAACCCACCCTTAATGAGTTTAGCTAAATCTGCACAGCTTGCATAGAACATTATCAATCAAAATAAAACACCATCAGCCCGTAAGATGAGAGAATTTGCAAAACTCAAGTACTTACAGGCACGAGTGAATGCAGAATGACGCATTGGCTCCGATAGGAATAGAGCAGATTCCAGAGAGGCAGTGCATGGCGATAGCACCAAATACCCTGAGCCCCCTCCATAAACAAAGCGAGTCTGTGAACACAGTTTTGCTTGATGGGGCCCATAGCATCCTTCATTTGGAGTCATGAGCGACGACATGTGTTTTAAGGTAATTAGTTAAGTCTGGAGCCCACCTGTTCATGCAGTGAGGCAAATTCTTGGCCTGAAGGCTGGGAACGTTGGCAGTGGTCCCTAGAAGTGCAGTGTTGCTCATGTGGCTCATGGAAACCTCTTGTTTTCTCCCTGCAGAGCAAGGCCAGTCGTGACTGTGGATGCCCAGCTTTTGCTGCACCCGATGATTATCAATCTGGAAAATAAAACATGCCAGATTCCGGAGTCTGTGTCACCTGTGGCCTGGTGAGTTAGTCCGCCGCTTCTCAAACTCCACTGTGGATTCAAATCACCCGGGCATCTCGGGAAATGCAACTCCTGGGGTGCGGCCTGAGACTTTGCATTTCTGAAAAGCTCCAGTCAGATGTTGATGCCGTGGGTCTGCGCACCCAATCTGAGTGGCAAAGAGTTAGTCTTTCTGAATGGATGAAGAAAATGTGATGTGTATACATACATACACATTCCTACTGTATACACATATGTGATATATTGCTTCATGTACAAAATTACAATATATTACAATATACGGATATATATATATATATACACAATAGATTATTACACAACTGTAAAAAAGGATGAGATCTTGCCATTGGAGACGATATGAATGGGCCTAGAGGGTAATTAAGTCAGGCTGAGAAAGACAAATAGCACATGATTCCACTCGTAAATGGAATCTTTACAAGAAATGAACAAGGAAACAAAAAGCAGAATCAGAACTATAAATCCAGAGAACGACCCGATGGTCGCCAGAGGGGAAGGGGGTGGGGGTGTTGGACAAAAGGGGTGAAAGGGAGATGGCAATACAAGCCCCCGGTTACGGAACGAGTAAGTCACAGGAATGCAAGCATAGCATAAGGAACGCAGTCAACGAGAGAGCCGTGTAATGGGACACATGGTAGCTCTACCCTGGTGAGCGTAAGGTATAAACTTGTCAAATCACGAAATCCTGTACCTGAAACTAACGTAACATTGTGTGGCACTGATGCTCAAGAAATGTTTTTTTAAGATAGCGATATTCAGAGAGATTGGAGATGTAAGTAAGTATGATGAGAATGGAGGCAATATTTCTCAGCATGGGAGAAGAAAGGTACAAACACAGAAAGGAGGGAACTTAGAATATTTCTTGTGGTGCTAAGCTGGAATGGGAGGCCTGAATGCGAACTCATGTTTTTCAACATATAGGGATAGAAATAAATACAGATAGAGAAAAAAAGAGAAGGAAGGATCTATGACATAATGCTGATCTTTTGTTGTTAACCTCTCACCTGAAGGCTACTTCCCCAGTCTACAGGCTCCAGGTGAAAGGAGAAACATAAAAACATTTGGGAAAATTCCCAGCGTAACAAATCTTGGTGATCTCTTTTGGATTCTTTGCATGCTGAAATAAATATTAACCGCACTGCAAATAGGAGAAAATACCTTGACTCTCACATTTGTGTATGCTTATGGAGACCCCTTTCCAGACATATATGTCTCTCTCTTTTAGTCAGGCTTTAGTGAAACTACTCAGTTTCCTGGGCTGAAAACACATGTCAGTTTCGTGATTGAGCGCGCGCAATGTGACAGGAGGTAAACATTATAAAAATAGTGATTTTCCTGCTCTAAACTCTGTGGTTGTGGCTGTGATCGCATTATCAGGAATAGCAGTAAAATTACGGTTCCTTTGGTGGGCCATAGGAGAACACAACTTACGTGGCTTCGGGAAGTGTTCCTTCTCAATCTTGCCGGGCATCTGAAGGAAGTACAAATGGAATTCAGTTGTAACACGGCTTAGGAACATGTCACTTTGGTTCTCAGTAGGGAGGTCCTCAAGGGTCAGAGGTCTGTCTTCATTGGGTAATGCCAACAGGGCATAGCCTCTGAAAAATCAACAAATACTTAGGAGTGTTTGAGATTTTCCCTCATTTTCCAGAAGGTGTGGTCGAACTCGGACAGTATGTTCAGTTCCTGAGAATTGTTAGAGGCACAACAAACCAGTGTTGACTCAGAGAACTTCTTTCCAGCCACTTTCAGCATGTTGTTGATGGCCTTTTGACAGGAGTTCATACCAGAGTCAAAGCCATCGTGGGTGGAGGGTGGGGAGTGAGGGGGACCTTTAACAAGTCTTTGAAGAATGTCCTTTGCTGGGCAAAGGACTCTGCGAGGCATGCCCTCTCCTTTGCCAGTTTTTGGACAGAGCGGGGAAGTGCCCTGAGCACATTTTCAAAGGGTTTAAAACCATAAAATATTATAATGAAAACCTGATCTGAGAAAATATGTGAAAGAGTCAGCATCTATCCTTACCCTGGCGTGATTAACTGAAATGTTCTGTGGGAGCTACTTGGGCAAGAGTGTTAAGTCTTCAGTTCCCCAAAGAGTCTGGTGTTCCCCGGTTCATGGCTCAATGGACCCTAGGCTGGATTCTTTGAAGTATCTGCGTGTGGCACAATATAAGTATTTTTAACAGAGATGGGGTCTGTTTGGTTTTATGGAAAGGGTATTACTTTATTATATTTATTATATATTTATTATACATATATGCTTATATCCATTATTTATTATGTAGAAGAACATATTTCTTTTCATGAGCCATTTTGCTTATTGCACTACATCATATTAAGGTAAAATGCAATTTGTTATGTGGGAAAATGCATAGTATATGTCTTTATGATTATTTATTTCATCATATTGCATGCATTCTCTGAAAAACATTTCATTTTTCACATGCAAAAATTTGGAGTTAATGGTGCCTCAGAGTACTAGAAGATGCAAGTTAACAGCTGGCTCAGCCTAGAATGTGTTTCTCTGACACTTTGTAAGTTTATTTTAGGAATTTTGGTCAGTATTTCCAAAATAATTGACAGGCATTTGTTGATGTGCTTTCTTGTCGTTTTGTCTGTATGTGATCGAACTTTGTATTCTACATCTGAAAACTATTTGAGTGAACCCGGACTGGGAAATAGTTCTTCATGTCTGCCAATGTAAATGTCTTTGTCTTTCAAACAGCTGTGTCCTTTTATAAACGATCTGCTACTGGTATTTCTAAATTAGAAAAAAAATGGCACAACAAATATTAATAGTGTTACTAATCAATTAGAAAAATAAAAAGCATTTAGTAAGATATTTCATTTGATAAATGTAAAAGATCATCCCTATCCACTTTTCAAATCTGAGAAAACCTTTTCCAGTATGCCTACCTTTATGCAAAATCTGATATTTGCTGTCACTGAAATCGAATTAAATTGCGTAGGCTGAAAACTGAACTGCTTTGTACTTTTAAATCCTGTTTCACATCCGCCTCATTCTTTTTCCATCAAGCATGGCTATGCTCACCATTATACCACAGCATCATTATTCTAACTGTACATCGGGTTGGGGCTGGTGTCAGAGGATTTATAGCGTATTGTCCTGCTTTCTTATATATTAGAAGCACTACAGACGTCAGTTTCCTTTAGAACTTATGTGATGAGGGATCTGGGTTGATTTGTTGTCTTTGCTCCAATCAGACCTATTCAGACTAATGTACCATATTGAATGTGACCATAAATTCAAGTTTGCAGTTTTAACTCTAATTAATTATAGGTCACAGCTTTCCCTGAAAATGCCAGAGTACTTTATAATCAGGTGTAGACCGTGAGTGGACCAAATGTTTTGGCAGATAAGACACATAGCGAATATATGTGTATGTTTACGTACAGTATATAGTTTGCTAAATTCAGAGTGAATGCTACAACAAAAACACTAAATCGAAGTGATATATGGATTTCTATGTTTATTGCAGCACTATTTACAATAGCCAAGCTACCCAAGTGTCCATAGATGAATGGATAAGGAAGATGGGGTATAGATACACGGTGGAAATTACTCAGCCGTAAAAGAATGAGATTCTGCCATTTGCAACAACATGGATGGACCTAGAGTGAAATAAGTCAGACAGAGAAACACAAATAACATATGATTTCAGTCATACGGGGAACCTAAAAAACAAAGCAAATGCATAAACAAACAAACAAAAAAACCCAGAAACAGATTCATACAGAGGACAAACAAGTGGTCGGCAGAGAGGAGGGAGGGATGGAGAGATAGGCAAAATAGATGAAGAGGAAGAGTAAGAGATACAGACTTCTAGTTAACAAAATAAGTAAGTCACAGCGATGAAAAGGACAGCAGAGGGAACAGAGTCAATCATTTTGTTGTAAGTTTGGTGGCAGATGGTAACTACACTTATCACAGTGACCACTGAGTAATGTATAGAGCTGTTGAATCACTGGGTTGTTCACCTGAAACAAATAGAACACTGTATGTGATATTACTATGTTACTGTATTACTGAAATATTACTATATTTCAGTAATAAAAACTTTCTTTTTTTTTTTTTTTTTTAATTTTTTTTTCAACGTTTATTTATTTTTGGGACAGAGAGAGACAGAGCATGAACGGGGGAGGGGCAGAGAGAGAGGGAGACACAGAATCGGAAACAGGCTCCAGGCTCTGAGCCATCAGCCCAGAGCCTGACGCGGGGCTCGAACTCACGGACCGCGAGATCGTGACCTGGCTGAAGTCGGACGCTTAACCGACTGCGCCACCCAGGCGCCCCAGTAATAAAAACTTTCTAAATGTTTTATTTATCATAACTGGATGACATTTTCTGACACCTGATAAAACTAGGTCTTTTTAAAATTTTTTAAAGTAAGCTCCACACCCAGTGTTGGGCTTGAACTCAGGACCTGAGATCAAGCGTCTCATGCTCTAGGGACTAAGCCAGCCGGGTGCCCGATAATAAAAATTTTCTTTAAAAGAATGAATATTTTTGTCCACTACTATAAAATTTTGAGGGTTTCCTTTTAGATCAGAACCAGGGGGCTTGGAACGTTTTGATTTGGTAACTTTTCTGTGAAAGGCATCTACAAACTAGCACATTGAGGTTGAGGTGCTACTAACAATAACTCGATCAGTTGTAGCAGTTATTTTAAACCTGTATAAAGATAGTTACAGGGGCGCCTGGGTGGCTCAGTCGGTTAAGCGGCCGACCTCGGCTCAGGTCATGATCTCACGGTCCATGAGTTCGAGCCCCGCGTTGGGCTCTGTGCTGACAGCTCAGAGCCTGGAGCCTGTTTCAGATTCTGTGTCTCCCTCTCTCTCTGACCCTCCCCCGTTCATGCTCTGTCTCTCTCTCTCTCTCTCAAAAATGAATAAAACGTTTAAAAAAATTAAAAAAAGAAAGTTACAGTCATCCAGTTAATGATTTGAAGGTAACAGAAAGGGGGAGTTAAGAATAACACTGACAGGTAACTGATACAATTCATAACTCAGCTGCTAACATCATTTGTCGATCAAATACCTCCTCGCAAAGAGACAATCATGTTCACATTCCTAGTTTCATTTATTACTTTTTCAAAAACTCCATTGGTTTTGAAATCTTCATGTCAAACAAAATCCTATCTATAAAATTACTTTAACGTAGCTAAGTTGACAATCTCATTATAAATAGGAATTTATCTTGTAAAAGTTAATGAACTTTGTCTATGATTTTAACACACAGCCAAGTACTTCCCAAAAAAAAGTTGGACACAGAAAATATTTCAGTTCTGAAAGCCATACCTGCTGCAGAATTTAAAGATATGGTTAACTACTCATCTTTCTTAAATAATTCTAATTAAAGTCGAAGTGGGCTGGAATTTGTGATTTCTCTGGGGAAGGGGTACAAACACTTGTAATAGCAGAGACATCTCAGGAAACTATTGGTAATGGCATGTGGCAAATTATTTACCCTGAAGGGAGACATTGACTGAGGTCACGGTAGATAGATGAGTCCCAGATGTGACACATTTTCATTATATTTGACACAGGAAGCTGACACATAATTAAAGTATGATTGGGGATTATTTACAGCTTTTGGATGCTGTAGAAATATTCAAATTATACTATAGTATTTTATTAATGAAAACATCAAGAGTGTCCTTAAATCATTGTTAAGTAGTCTCTTCTATTTTTACTTTCTTAGAAATGTGAAAAAGCCCCATTTCGAATGCTGGCTGTTAGGGCTTACCATTGTTCAGGAGGGATGTGAGCACATTGTGCAAAGCCAGTTGTCTTAATTGTATTATGGTCAACTGGTGAGATAGATATATATATATATATATATGTGTGTGTGTATATATATGTATGTATGTATATGTATGCATATATATGTATATATATGTATGTATATATGTGTATATGTATGTATGTATTTTTTTACAAATATATGTATATTTAGTTAGTTGTGTGTGTGTATACTGAGAAGTATAAAGGAAAAATGATGTATTCATTTGACCTGGGGTGAGGTGAAGTAAGATTTCTGTTTCAGATTCAAAATGTTATTAACCAATACATTATTGACTATTATTTTCCGTAGCTTTTCTTTAAAAGTATGTGCTTCAGTAGCGGGCCAGAGCATTTCAAATACAATAGGTGAGCATGTTTTCATTTTTACACTCCTATGCTACACTGAGAAAAGTTAACAATGAACGTTCCTCTGCAGACCCTATAAAACTTTCAGTGAGCCCGTTTCTAATATTAAGATTTCTACTGTATATATGGAAACCTCTCTGTAAATATTCCTTGAATAATTGGTGTTACTATTATCTATAAAAACAGATATCATCATGGGGGAGGGGGAAGTGACTCTGTCAAACCATTACAAAACAAGTTTCATAGCTTGGGGAGTATTTTATAAAACTTTTGCAGCTCGTGTATTTGTTTTTGATCCCAACTATGAAAACAATGTTTTCTGAATAAGCAAGTGGAAATAGAAATTCATTCGAGCACTGCATTCACTGAATACTTTGCCTTTCCTGATTATATTTGCTCTATTTCTGTCCCTTAGGCCTGACCGCCGAGGTATACTTGGATACTCTGAAACAAAAAGGTGCCGTCAAACGCACGCTTTTCCTTGACAACAATCAGTCGCATTTCATCTTCCCTCTCACCATCAAGCGGCAGAAATCCCTCCAATGCCAGGACTTTGTCGTTTACCTCCGAGTGAGTGTTCCAGAATCACCCTTCTGGCCTCCTAACGTTCAGACTCCAATTCCAACCTTTTTTCTCTACTGGACTATCCTTCGGGTCCACAGAGATCCACATCTATTTTCATTTTATAGGAGGAAACTTTCTTCTGAGGGCCACACGCTCCATTTTTGAGCTTTTCTTCAGCTGACCGAACAGCATGTGGCTATTAATTCCCAAAGCTTCTTTCTGTCCTGCACACTAACCTGATAATAGTACTCACTCAGGTGGTTTTTATTTCTCACTGCCTCCCTCCCAAAAAACCATAAACATTAAACGCAATTTATTTGAATTTTTCTCCTGCGTGCGGATGCTTGGCCAGATGTTATCGATGTGCATTTCAGAGCCAAGTTGGGAAAACGTTCAGGCATTCAGTGCCTTTATTGAAAGTAATTTATAATTCTGTTTTTAAAGAAATGTATATTTACAGTAACTCCAAGACCTACCGTGGAATAAAAGAGCTGAAATATATATAACACTATTATCCCAGCTTTTTTTACCAGTCGTGAGGTTATCCTCTTTCTTATTTTGTCTCCGCCCTTCGGGCCTTTCGGGGTACGACCCTCTCTCCCTGGAGGGCTTCTGTTTGTTTTTTCCGAGGGTGCTGAAGGTGTTTTGCAGTTCATGCAAGCTGAAAGAGATAATAAGAGAGGAAAAGAATCAAGATGTTTTCTTCTCCTGAGCCCAAGAGGACTCCTAAATGCGGCCAACCTCATGAAAATAAAAATTCACGAAACTTTCCATGACATTTATTGCGTATATGAGTATGTTTTTTTCCTTTGCAATTTAACCAATTTGTGTGACTCACTGAGATCTGCAGAACCTGAAAACTGCCTCCAGAAGCATCTATTTCAATGAAGCCACAACTCTAAACGGTTTCGTTCCCGAGCATGTGTTAATTAATCCTATATACCACCTCAGTCAGCGTGTACCTAAGCCCGCTGCCGTGATAATTACCTCCTCGTTCACGTCCACTGACTGAGGTCACAGTTGCCTGCTTCTCGCAGACTAACATCATGTAGCTATTTCACAGAGCCTTCCTTGCGTTTGTGATTATTTTCCCTAGGATGAAACCGAATTCCGAGATAAATTATCTCCAATCAACATTAGTTTGAATTACAGTTTGGATGAATCCACCTTTAAAGAAGGCCTGGACGTGAAACCAATATTGAATTACTACAAGGAAAACACTGTCACCGAGCAGGTAGGTCCCCGACGGTCTTTGATGGGTTGATTCCCAGTCAGGCCCTGGGCAGCGCTCCTGTGACCTTAACACCAAATCCAGCCTCTTTTGTTTTCGTTCCTGCACACAAACTTGTAACATTTGGGAGATTTTCCTAACGTGTTTCCTGAAACGCTGCATCACTGTGTTTTCGGAAGCTCTTCCCCTTGTGCAACCAAGACTTAATTTGTTCAAAATGTGGCTGTAATGGAATCAATACAGCCTCTGATCCTCAAAGTGCTGCCCGAGTACCTTCTTTATGGACATTTCCGAATGAATGGGGATCAGGCTATTATGTAAACGAAGTTATACCGGAAGATCACTGCCTTGCTTCGGGTTTTTAGCTGGGCAGAATTCACACAGAGAGAAACGAAAGCCTTGGTTTAATTTGTGGAATCGTTCATAGTTGTCAAGAAAAAAGGATGTGATTCAGGTTTTCCGAGATTATTCCTGATGCCTGTTTGCACAACACAGGCTCACATCCTGGTGGACTGTGGAGAAGACAACATGTGCATTCCTGACCTGAAGCTGTCAGCTAGACCGTAAGTTTAAATAAATAAACTTGTGCGTTTTATCTAATGGAATACAGGTGTTTATTTAAAGCTTCTCTGGAGAAAGTATACACTTCCAACGACTACAAAAAAAAAAAAAAAATACCCTGTGTGAAATTCTTGAGCTTGGCAACACTTTGGGTCAGCCTGTGGTTTGGGTCAGTCCTTTGTCACCGGTGTGAGATGAACACACCCTAAGATTTCGCTTGGGCTGTTTTCATCTTTCAGCAAAAGCGGGAAAAAAAAATGTTTTTGTTCAAAGTAAACTCATCTGGGGGGTGATTCAAGTTGTATGTACTTGCCTGAGTCATGCGTGCAAGAGACTCAGGCTGGTTCTGTTTCCGCCTTAGCCCGAACCAGCTTGTGCGGGGGCCGTGGCTCAAAAGCATCCTTAAAGTTGTCAAACCGTAATCGCTTTTACTTTGCTGAAACAACTATTTTAATGGCACTCTGGGGAGTCAGGCAGAAGGTGTCCCCAAGTCAAATTAAGAATCAAAAGTCTTTCCGGTTGCCTGTAATGGAGAGTCATCAGTCTAGCACTGGTAACTACACTGCATCTTGTGAGGGCAAGAAACAAGAGTCAGATGTACAACATCCTACGTCGGGAAAAGCAGATTCAGGCTTCTCATCCCCAACACACACCCACCCAAGGCCCATCTCGCCACCAGTGTTTGGGAATCCGCTTGGCAGTCTTTTTAGGGGATGTTCTTCCCAAACTTCACGATTGAGCCAGTGTCCGAAACAACAGCTGTGATTGATTAAGGGTTAAAAGTGGCAAAATCGGCTCAGTTTGAGGTTTGGAGAGAAGGAAAATTCCTCAAAATACTCAGAATCCTCCACCGACTGAGATTTTATTGTATCTGCCTCTTTCCTTCCGTCTTATGGTTCTCTTGGCATCCACACCTCCCCCTGTTCGTTTCTAAAACGTCTCTGCCTTTTCACCCACTGCTCATCGTCTTCCTGTCGGGTGTGTTGAGTGATACGCCAGGGCTGCCTTATTCTGGCTTGGGAACCAATCATCCGATTTCCTGGATTTCTTTCTGGCAGATTAAGTATGTCAGTAGCCTGAAATTGACCACAGTGGGAGGATTTAGGCCGCTGGAATCAGCAAATGCTACACATTGGTACTCTTTTTTTTTTTTTTTTTTTTGGTAATGTTCAGCGTTACCAGCACACCACTGGATGTTCTCCTGCTCTGCCCATACAGATGCAGTTCTCTTACTTCTTCTCACCACCCCCTCATGATGATCCATCCATCTTCTTGTCCAAGTCTCATATTTCCCTATCTTCCTTCTTTCCTTCCAAGTCCTTAGATAAAATATCTGTGAATCCAGAGAAGTATGGTAACTAATATTCCTTTTAAACTACGTTTTTAGAGATAAGTATCAGGTCATCATTGGAGATGAAAATCATCTTATGCTCGTAATCAATGCAAGAAATGAAGGAGAAGGTGCCTACGAAGCTGAACTCTTCGTGATGATACCAGAGGAGGCAGATTATGTTGGGATTGAACGCAGCAACAAGGTAATGCCTTGCCCAGTATTTCAAGTCGGAAAGAACTCAGGTATATATTTGAAGTCAAAGCGACATTAAGTAGAGCCATCTTAGCTGAGACTTTCTTCCCAAATGAAGGAGAACAAAATGGCACCCGGCTTTGCTAATCATAATAGCAGTGAGCCAGGAAGGGGAGGTGGTCTTAAGCAATATTAATATCTTTCTTGGCCACAGTGCAAAGATCAGTTGGCCAAAGATGGAGAGCTGAAGCAAGGAAGAGAATACAGCTGGCTGAGAGAAGAATCTCACTAATGCGATCTATCAGCTAGACTCCCCTGTTAACTCCCACCCTCGCTGGCTGTTTTCAGGCCTTTGTTTTTAGTTCCCTTCGTTTCAAGCAGGTCCCGGGAGCTCTGGTTTTCATTATTGCTTATAGAGGAAGGTCTGACCAATCCCAGCTGAGCCCTGATAACAGCAGAGACAGGCACTGGAAAGGAAACGCGTTCATTTTTCTTTCTTCATGGCCCACCTTTTGGGGACCAGGACCGAGAAAAGCCAGGTCTTTGTCATTATTTGCTGGTCGAGCAAGGCCACCATTTATTAAACTGACAATGCTTTTTACGATCTTTCCTCTCCTTTATCAGAACATGAATCTTCCCACTCAGGGTATCCTCAGGTTCTGCTGTGTTTTTAATCACTTGGTCTAAAAACACATTAAAAATACATTGCAGGACAGTGGGGAAAGTCCCTCATTTTCAGAAATGTACAGACTCACAATCAAGGACAGAGACCCACTTTAACATTCCCTCATGGCCACCTCTGTGCTTCACATAGAACGAGGCACAACGGGAACTCCTTTGAGACATGCTGATGGATTTGTTCATTGAACTACTATTTGTTAAATGTCTGTTAATTTCCAAATACCACATACTTTGAGGTGTATGAACATTCTAATGACTAAATAATGTTTTTTTAATTTTAAGTTTATTTATTTATTTTGAGGGTGTGGGGGAGAGACAGCAATGGGGGAGGGGCAGAGAGCAAGACAGAGAGAATCCCAAACAGGCTCAGCGCAGTCAGCATAGAGCCCAACATGGGGCTCAAACTCATGAACCACAAGATCATGACCTGAGCTGAAATCAAAAGTCAGTTGCATACCCAACTAAGCCGCCCAGGTGCCCCATAAAGACTAAATAATTTAATGAAAAACGATTTGTCTCAAGAGATGTTAGCAGGGGTACCTGGCTAGCTCAGTCAAAAGAGCATGTGACTCTTGATCTCAGGGTCATGGGTTCGAGCCCCACGTTGGGTATTGAGATTACTTTAAAAATTTTTTTTAATGTTTTTTATTTATTCTTAAGAGAGAGAGAGACAGAGCATGAGCGGATGAGGGGCAGAGCAAGAGAGGGACACAGAATCCGAAGCAGGCTCCAGGCTCTGAGCTGTCAGCACAGAGCCCCATGAGGGGCTCAAACCCACAAGCTGTTGAGATCATGACCTGAGCCGGAGTCGGACGCCCAACCAACTGAGCCACCCAGGCACCCCTAGAAATTATTAAAAAAAAAAAAAAAGTAGACAATAACTTAAAAAAAATTAATGTCAGCAAACTGTTGCAATGTTGATACTTCATAGGCATTTATAGATGCAGAAATTATTAAATTCTCTACTCACCCCTCTAGGCTTGCGGTTTATGTGTTGGTTAAATTATCTTCTTAGTGAAAAATAGATAAATAAATCCAGGTGAGTGATCATCACATATCTTTGACAGTCATAGAATCATTACGAGTTTCTGTTGGAGAAATTTATGGAAAAATATCACCTGTACACACTTACATGCAAATACTATGTAAACAAACAAAGAAATGAGGCTCGAGTATGTTATTTTTAAAAATGTTCCGTGGCTTCACTCATGTTTTCATTTCAGTTCCTTCGTGTCATTCCACCCCCGACTTCGTTAAACAAAGCGTCTTTTCTAAAATGTTCTTTTAGCAAAACATCCAGTTTACCGTGGACTTGGTTGCATGGAAAATACGGGAGAACGCTTATCGTTTCCATCTCTGGCTATAAACATTACAACGGACATCGTCCACAGTCTCAAATAAGCCCCTTAACTTTTTTTCTTCCATCAGCTTCCCTTGGGCAGAGACTTAGCTCAGTCTTTGAATCTCGCATGACTGAAGCCACATTCTAATTTGTTCTTTCTCTCTAAGCAGTTTGAGGTTTGCGTACCTTTTTTTTGAACTCAGCTCAAGGGTTTTTTTTAGACAATCTTCTCTCAGGGGAAAACGTATTACGATTATCTGATTGTAAGTTTTGTTATTCTTTTGTTGAACACATTCATCATTTCAAAAATATAAATGCTGACCATCTCCTTCTCTGGAAACCTTCACCGAGCCAGACTTCATACTTCCCTTTGCTGACTTTTTCTAAAATGTTCTAGGAATAAGGGCTTGTGTGCTTTATGTGATGATTATGATTGGCATTATTATTATGGCAAAAATATATGTAATATATTTTAGCATTTTAACCATTTCTAAGTGTGTCATTCAATGGGATTGAGTGCATTCACATGATTGTGCAACCTTTACGTAAAACCATCCAGCAAACAACTTTTTCATCTTCCCAGATGGAAACCCTGTACTCACTCAACGCTGACACCTGTTCCCCCAGCCCCTGGTAACCACAGGTCGGCTTTCTGTCTCTATGCATTTGGTATCCGGGGGACCTCACGGACCACCTCCCCTGCCTCCTGGCCACCTCACATCCAGCGTGTCCAGAACTAGATTTGTCAACCTCCCAGACTCCCGCTTCTCCCGCCACCATGGCCTGGGTCAGAGAAAGGCACCAGGAGCCACCTCGTTTCTCCAGCCCACCTCTGTCCCCAGTTCATCTCTTCTCTCCACCTGCTGCCCCTGACACCGCCCCTGACACCTGCCTTCATCAGAGCTGGCCTGATCTTCTGCCGAGATCACAAATGTCTCCTAACTAATCTCCCCATCTCCCTGCCTCCCCTCCCCTCTCTGCAAGGGGTCGTCCTCTCCCTAAAATGTAAATCTGACCACAGCACCCTCTTGCTGCAACCCCTCATTAAGTCCCCATTGCTTTGAGGATAAAGCCCAAAGCCCCTCAGTAACTACCGAGGCCCTTACTTCTGTCACCCCTGTTCACGTCTTTAGCCTCTCGTCCCTGGGCTTGGATCCTTTCTCTTCCCCCGCACCCTACATGCCAGCAGGACTGAATTTCTTTCCAGTTCCTGGAGTACACGTGTGCTCTGTTGCCACAAGAGTTGGTGGCTGCTGCTCATTCTCTCGGACGCACCAACTCCACTCCCTCCTCCCCTTTATCCAGCTCACTTCTTTCTCTTTATCCTTCAAGTCTCAGCTCGGTCATGATCGAGGCTGCAAACGTGTATTGAAGAATCGGGCTGGGCACTGCTCTGAGATCTTATATGGGTTTAATTTACTTAATCTTCGGACTTGTAGCAAAACAGCAAGGCTATCGGTATCCCCCACTTACAGAGGAGGAGAGATTTACTAACATGCCTAACACAGCTGTTGCCTAGCATACACTTCACTGGTGGGTCCAATCCCGTGCTCTTAACCACCGGTCTGCACTGCCCCCCAGCAGCCTGATGTCACCTCCTTCAATCTGCTACTTACATCTAAGTGCATAACCTTCTCTATCACTATGAATCTCTCCTATCGTAAAACTGAAACTGCACTGATTATGTTTCCATTGCTTTTCACAATGCTTGTGATTACTTATTACGGTTGTTACAGTAATTGGAAATGCGGTGAGGACGAGGAGTTTTTATCAGTTCCTGGTAAATAGCAGGTACACAGTACATATTTTTAGTGAATGAATAATATGTTAAGAGCTATAAATGGATTACAGCAAGAGTGTCCCTGGAACAGCTAAGGAAAATAATCTAGAAATATCTAGAAAAACAATCATTGTTCCTCTCACTCAGAGAAAGGAAGTAAAGGTTAAAAAAAGAAAAAGGGTGGGAGGGACTGGGGAAAGAAAAGATCTTTGATTGATGTGAAAAAGCTATTTCTAGAAAGCTGGGAAAAATGTACATATAACTTTTAACCTTTAGATAAGATAAAAATATTTACTGTAGAAACCAACTTTGAATTATATATTCAAAGGGCTCGTGGACATTTTAAAAAACGTTTTTGCTGGGTTCTTTTTTTCTGTTTTCAGGATTGACTTAATAATTTGAACACAAACATCTCTGTACAATTAGGGTTAGTTACAGATCCTTAAGAATTTAAAGGGGTGTCTGGGTGGCTTGGTCGGTTAAGCGTCCGACTTCGGCTCAGGTCATGATCTCACGGTCTGTGAGTTCAAGCCCCGCGTCGGCTCTGTGCTGACAGCTCAGAGACTGGAGCCTGTTTTAGATTCTGTGTCTTCCTCTCTCTCTGCTCCTCCCTTGTTCATGCTCTCTCTCTGTCTCAAAAATAAATAAACGTTAAAAAAAAATTAAAAAAAAAGAATTTAAATACATGCTAATGCTATCTTTCAGAGGAGAGAGCATTACCAGCTTTTTGAAAATATGTTTCTTAGCTGCCTAGATACTAATGTGTCATGCAAGTTATTTAGAGAGAGCATATATTAAGGTGCCTCCAGATATCAGTCAGTTGCTCCTTTCTGATCATTCTGAACAGACTTTTCAGTGGGTGTTCCTACCTGGTTGCCTGCAGGAGGGAGGATGTGTGTGTGTGTGTGTGTGTGTGTGTGTGTGTGTGTGATTTTTAATTTATTTTTGAGAGAGAGTGTGAGCAGGGGACAGAAAGAGAGGGAGACACAGAATCCGTAGCAGGCTCCAGGCTCTGAGCTGTCAGCACAGAGCCGGACGTGGGGCTCCAACTCATAGACTGCAAGATCATGACCTGAGCTTGAAGTCAGACGCTTAACTAACTGAGCCCCCCAGGCGCCCCCAGGAGGGAGGATTTTATAGTTAGTTGTGTTTCCATTCATTTCAGCCCCGTCTTAGCAAAGCGTGTGATCCGCTTCTGCAGTCTTCTGACACCATTTACTACTCTGTGCCCAACATGGCTCCAGGCACTGGGAATAAAAGAGATACAAAAACC